AAAGGGCAATGTCGGACGAACTTTCTGCTCTTGAACAGAATAAGACATGGACTCTTGAAGTTTTGCCTCCGAATAAGAAAGCTATTGGCTGCAAATGGGTCTATCGAACGAAATTCAAATCTGATGGCACTGTTGAAAGACACAAAGCTCGCCTTGTTGTTCTCGGTAATCGAAAACAGAAGGAGTGGATTATGACGACACATTCGCTCCCGTGGCAAAGATGGTTACAGTCCGCACGTTTCTTGCAGTTGCGGCAGCACGGCATTGGGACGTTCATCAAATGGATGTTCACAATGCGTTCTTACATGGTGATCTTCAAGAGGAGGTATACATGAAACCTCCACCGGGATTTAAGGTTCCAAACACGAGCACTGTATGTCGTCTACGAAAATCTCTCTGTGGCCTTAAACAGGCACCTCGGTGTTGGTTCGCCAAGCTCACGGACGCACTCACTCGGTATGGTTTTGTGCAAACGGAATCTGATCACTCCTTGTTCATTCTTGATAGAAGCACAACAAGACTTCATGTACTTGTCTACGTCGACGATCTTTTAGTGACGGGAAATTCGAAGCAATCCATGGTTGAATTCAAGACGTATCTTAGTCGGTGTTTCAAGATGAAGGATCTCGGCGATCTTAAATATTTTCTTGGCATTTGGGACGCAGCTCTGCATATTGTACGTTATCTGAAACTTAATCCAGGACAAGGCATTATTCTCCGATCAGATTCGGATTTGAGACTCTACGGATGGTGTGATTCCGATTGGGCTGGTGATCCACATTCTCGTCGTTCTCTCTCCGGCTACATTGTCCAACTCGGAACCTCACCAATTTCCTGGCGCTCGAAACGACAGTCGACCGTCTCTCTCTCCTCGGCAGAGGCCGAGTACAGAGCCATGTTTGTGACCACTTGCGTGTTATTATGGCTTAAAGCTCTACTTCACTCTCTTGGCGTTCACCATTCGGACACAATACTTCTCCATTGCGACAGTCAAGCAGCATTATACATTGCCGCCAATGACGTCTTCCACGATCGAACAAAACATATTGAGGTCAGTTGTCATTTTCTACGCCATCACATTAAATCCAGACAGATATCTACTCGTCATGTTTCGTCGTCAACCCAACTTGCGGACATCTTCACGAAGGCACTCGGGAAGAAGGAGTTCACGACATTTCTCTCCAAGTTGGGCATACATAATCTTTATACTCCAACTTGAGGGGGTATTACGAAGATATGGGAAGATTGATATTTATCAAACACGGCAACTGCATATTGTTTGTTCCTATATATCAGCAATGCCAGATCATGTTTCTATTTTTTATAAGTTTAGGTTGCGTCCTCTGTTTGTATAAAAACCTGTAAACATTTGAATGAAAGCAAGCCATTCTTCTGCAAATTCCTTTGCTCAATATGATATTTGTCAACTTGCGGTTGCACCAATCTGTCTTCACGGACATTGAGGCCACTTTCAAGGAGATAGACAAAACCGTTCGACGAGTTGCGGCGTCCTTTCGGCGTTCTAAAGCCGAGCTAGCATCCAAAATTCTCTCTAGATGGTTCGGATAACCATTTATCCATTTTTTGGGCTTACTTTGGTTATGGTGGTTTTTCAACTAGGTTTTGTGTTAGGTGTGAAAAGAGATCGCGAGGATGTCAAGAAATATCTTGCAGAATGAAAGAAGTCTAATCTTAAAAAAAAAATCAAAATCAAAATCAGCGAAGCCGTTTTTTTTGTTGTTTAAGGAATTAGCTCGTCTTGCACCCATAATGATCATTCAAATTCTTTATCAAAAAAATGATCATTCAAATTAAAATCACGTCTTTTCATCATTTAAAATTTTCTTAACGTAGTTATTTTCTAATAATTATACAAATATTAATAAATACACACACATTTCATGAATATTAAACAACTTTCCCGAACTACGTAACTTTTATTAATAAATACAACACTATGTTGTTTCTTTTGATTACACATTAATATCGACTAATATGATATATTAAAAGAATGACAAGATTATAAAAAACCCATCTTGTTCCGGCGAGATTACAAGGTTGTATTGGATAATTTTCTATAAACATTAAGAAAAATCATATATTAATGCATGAATTAGATAAATATATGAAATTTAAAATTCTTATATAAATACAAGAACTCTTCCTATAGCTCCTATATTAGATCATGAACTTTTTAGAAAAAAAAACAATAAAATTAAATCCTAAACTTTATAATTCGTGTATTTATATGATATTTTTTTTATAAATTGGTGTACTAATATGCGATTATTCTATACAAGTTACTCTGAGTTTTTTTAAAGCATTTCTACTAAAAACCGAATTTTTTGGGTGATTGTTAGTACTATGATAAAGCGAAATTATTACTCCCTCCCTTTCTAAAAAATGCCTTGTTAGAAATGTAATGATAAAGATAGAGATGTTGATACGGAAAATATTACTGCATTTGTTACACTTTGTGTTGGAATAAATTAAAAAAAAAAAAAAAAAACAAAAATCGAGCGTCTTGGAACTTGTCTATGTATCAGGATTCAAATTCACTCAAGACTTTAATTACTAATGTCGTTTTAGATTCTATCACAATTTTTAAAAAAATATAAGAAAAGTCAAATATATCCCTATTAACTCACATTCCCATTAATACTCTATTAAATCTATTAAAAAAACTAAAAATTTATTAAAAAATCTAAAAAATCTAAAATGACATCTATTTAGCAATAAAAAAAATTTAAAATGACACCTATTATAAATTGGAGAGAATATAATTTTATTATATTAAAAAAATGTATTTCCGCTATCTCATTTAGGGGTGGTCATTTCAAGGGTTTCAGTTCAAGTTCGGTTATATTCGGGTTCGGTTATTTCGGTTATAAAAAAACTATAACCATTCGGTTTTTATATAAACTTCGATTCGATTCAGTTTGATTTCGGTAAAAAATTCATTTTTCAAAAAAAAAATCGATTTTTTCGGTTATTTTTTTTATTCGGTCCGATTTCGGTTATTTTCAGAAAAGAACTCATAACCGTTCGGTTTTTATGTCGAATTCGATTCAGATATGGTTATCTTTTATTCGATTCGGTTCGATTCAATTATTCAGTTAATAATCGAAATTTTCACCCCTAATCTCATTTATCCCATTAAGGTGGAATAACACTTTTTCAAAAGTAATTAAAGTAATTTCTTCTCATCTATGATGTTCTTTTATCTTTTATCTTGTTCTGTGAGATTACAAGATTATATTGGATAATTTTCTATAAACATTAAAAAATCGCATATTAATACACAAACTTGTAAAAAAATTCACATCAAAATTTAAAATTTCTAGATAAATATCAGAACTCTTTCTAACTCCTACATTAAACCATAAATGTTTGGAAAACAATAGAATTAAATTTTGAACTTTTAAACTATTTCCAAAAATTATAATGAAATTAAACTCTAAACTTTTAACGACTCTTGGAAACCATCATGACATAGGTGGTTTTTGGAAACGGTTCAAAAGTTTACGTTTTCATATAAAAGTTAAGTTGATAAGCGTTCATATATTTTTTGAAAATTTTGTAGTTCGCATATTTATATGAGATTTTTACAAGTTCGTGTATTAATATACGTTTTTTCTATCAATATTACTCTTGAGTTTTTTTCCCATTAAGGAGCGAATTTTTTGGGTGATTGTTAGTAGTATGGCAAACCGAAATTATTATAATTTTAAAATATAATGGGAAAGAATTAAAAAAAAGCACTCTCCAGGAGCGCGTTCATCGGCGACGCCCACTGGGTCTCCTTCCACCTCTCTGTCGTCGTCGATCCACTGCGCCTCTACTCCCCCACCTTCACCCTCCCCTGTTCGCGCCTCCTCACCGCCTCCACCCTCCGAAATTTCGCCTCCGCAGAAAATCCCTATCCCTTTTTCAACCGAAATCCCTAACCACCAAATCTCTCCTTCGCCGGCGTCTGGGGTTGCAGGCTCCTCCTCTAGCCCTTCTGTTGCGGCTGCTGTTCTGGC